CATTAATATGTGCTCTTGTACTATTAGACTCGCCACATGCAGGGTCTTTCTACTCAATACACCTACAACCACATTCACCTTATCCAAATGGTATTTCAACTCAAAATTATAATCTTTGAGAAGCTCCATCCATTTCCTTTGCCTTAAATTCAACTCCTTCTAATCCATCAGGTATTTTAAACTCTTGTGGTTGTTAAACATAATGAATATTGCACCATAAAGATAATGGTGCTAAATTTTCAGAGGGAATATCACTACTACAAGCTCTAGATCATGAGTTAGACAATTCTCTTCATGTGGTCTCACTGTTGAGAAGCATAAGCTACCACTTTCTTATCTTACATCAAAACACATCCCAAACCTCTTAATGATGCATCAGTATATACCTCGTAGGGTAATTATGGCTTAGGAATAACTAACACTAGTATTGTAATTAAGTTTTCTTTTAGCTTTTGAAATGCTGTCTCACATCGGTCGTCTTAAATATATTGTTGATCCTTCTACATCAACTTAGTTAAAGGAGAAGTTATCTGAAAAAATCCTTAGATAAAGGTCTATAATACCCAGTAAATCTTAAAAAACTATATATCTTTGTGACTAAACTAGAATGCTCCCACTACAACACTACATCAACCTTATGCAGATCCATAGAAATCCCATCCGTAAACACTATGTGTCCTTAAAATTTATACTCAGCCAAAACTCGCACTTATTGAGCTTAGCATACAACTTGTTCTCTTTCAAAACTTGGAGCACACTCCTCAAGTGCTTTGCATGCTGCTCCTTATCTTCTAAATAGATCAAGATGTCATCAATAAAGACTATTATGAACTGATCCAGGTATGGCCTAAAGATACAGTTCATATAATCTATAAATACCACAAACGTATTAGTTAAACTAAATGGCATAATCAAAAACTCATAGTGACTACACTGAGTTCTAAAAGATGTCTTAGGCACATTTGCTACATTAACCCTTAACTGATGATATCCTAACCTCAAGCCTATTTTGAAAAAGACTAAGGTACCAATCAACTAATCTAGAAGATCATTAATTCTTAGTAAAGGATACTTGTTTTTCACAGCCACTTTTTTAATTGCTAATAGTCAATGCAAAGATGCAAACTACCATTTTTCTTCCTTATAGGTAGCACTAGTGACCCCTAGGGTGACATACTCAGTCGAATAAACCCTTTATTCAGTAAATCCTTTATCTTCTTCTTCAACTCTGCTAACTCCAATGGCAACATCCGATACGACGCCTTAGATATTGGTTCAGTTCTATAAACTAAATCAATAGAAAATTCTACTTCCCTTTTAGGAGATAATCTAGTCATCTTATTTGAAAACACATCTCGAAACTCACTAACTACCTCAATCTTATCAATATCACCATCATATAATATGTTAGAGGTAAAGAACACCATATAGACATCACAACCCTGTAAGATCAACTTCTCAGCACTAACTGCCAATAATAACTTAGATTGCTCAAATAAACTCACTGCTGCAGACAACATTAGTAATGAAGCCATTCTTCTGGCACAATCTAACGTAACATTATTAGCTGTTAGCTAGTCCATGCCAATGATCACATCTATTCCCTTTATAGGAATACTTACTAGATTAAGTTTAGAAACCATGCTTACAAACTAAATTCCTACCCTTTGACAAGCTCTGCTCGTAATACTAGAAGATCTTGAAGGCATAGTTACTCTAATAAGAACTAGTAATTCTTATAAAGACAACTTCAATCTATGTACACACTCTTCAGACACAAGAGAATGTGTAGCACTGGAATCAAACAACGCTTCGACTTCTTTCCCATAAATAGAAATCATACCTTGAATCAAATTCAGAGATGCTTTGGTATCTTCTTGTGTCACTACAGATACTTGACCAGGGATGGTAGATCACTACTTGGTCATCTCAACTCTACCCTCTGGGTACTGTCTTATTAGATGTCCTAACTTGCCACATTTGAAACACACCCAACACCTTCCTGCATGACACTAGCCTTAAATGTTACATTGAGGTGAGCTTCTTGTACTAAGTGTCGATGCTAGAATATTAGATGCCTGCCTTAAAGACTATGGAGGCTAAATTCTCACACCTCCATTCCTCTGAATTGATCCTAAAGGACATATCAAAATTGAGATCCTCTGATAAAATCCTTTCTACCTGTTGATTTAGAGCTACCAGAACTATATCCAGGTTTTTTTGAAACACTGCCTATCAAACCCAGTGGGGATGAGAATCTCCCCACACTATCACATCTCATATAAGTCTCGACCTCTCTGCCCTTCTTGAAAGCTATTCTTAACTTATGACACATGTCCTCGTACGTCATCACATCAAACAAAGCTCTCTGCTGCTGATACTCAGGTTGCATCTTTACTAACAACCTCTTAGCCTTCTACTTTTTATCACTACTATACTGGAGATATGTGGAATTGGTAGATAAATCATTGAATATTTTACTAAACTCCTCATCATCTAGGTTTCCTTGCCTGAATATGTGAAATTCCTCTTCTTTTTCTGTTACAAAATGAGATCAGGAAATATTGATCAAAGAAGATCTTCTTAAATTCTTCCCAAGAAAACCGAATGCCACTGATAAGACTCACAGAGTCCCACCATCTTTTTGTATCTCCCGGTAACTATACTGTTGCCAAGGTAACCTTATACTCCGACATACAAACTACAACATGAAAGATGGTTTCTAATCGCTCTATTCACAGTTTGAATCCCCTTCTTTCATATTGCTGTCAAAAGTTGGCGGGCTAAATTAGACAAAAGTCTTTCATGCCCAATCTATTAATGAATTAGTACTAATCCCAACTTCTAGTCTGCTACCCAAACCCTAAGATGGTCTAGGCTTGCTATATGTTCTTTTTGTGCTGGTTAACCTTGGTTTTCAACCCTCTCTCCTTTTTCTCTACCTCTCAACATCATATCATGATCCTAGACAGTCTGTTTTATATCCACCATCATATTTCTGAACTCTTCTTGCAACTCATCATACCTATCCCTTGGTGATGACTTAACTAGCTAAAGTTATTGCTCTCGCTCTCTATCATTCACCGATATTTGCTCATTCACATGTCTAGAGCGAGCACTTCTAGCGCAGCCACCTTTCCTCATTATAAATTGATGCATACAATTATGTAATGAATTCTGCAAGTGTACTAGTCATAAAAATAATATGTGATAAATCAAGGTTGATCCCACAAGGAATCAAGTTAATTGAAAATTAAGCAATAAAGTCTCCATTTTCATTTAAGTTGAGTAGGGAAAGATTTGAATTTGAAATTGCAAAATAAAAATTGAAATTAGAAAAATTAACTAAAATTAAAATTCTAACAACTACAAATAGTCAAGGAAACCTAAGGTGGCTAATTTCTTCTTTAATTCATAAAGCATGTAATTACCCAAATAAATTTACTTAATATTAATTTGTCAATCTAGAATATTAATATAAATAATTATATTCTGATTAATTACACTCCTTTATTGAATTAATATGCTATTTCTAACATGAATACCCAAGAGGCAAAAAGGCACAATTCATTCTAATATGAATATATGGTCCAATAGAATAAAAAGTAATTAAAAAGTAATTAAAAAAGGTTGAAAATGTAAAAAATCTTAACTAGGTAAAATATTGATGATAAAAATCACAATCAAGAACGTTTGAAGCAAAATTTTGATAGAAAAAAACCAAAGCCAGTGCAAGACTAGAGGACTAAAGTGTAAATAATTTTAAATGTGAAGTGACAAAAATATCCTTGTCTCTCTCTGTTTTTTTTTAAAGTGAACCCATGGTCACTAGGGCTAGCCACTGAAGTCTTGCTAATGTGTGCGACTGCTCATTGATACTTCGATACCAATGACCAATTAATTCAAATTAATTTGTGGGAAAGGTGGTAAAGAGGACCCCATGCTCATTCAAAATGACTAATGTCACAAGCCACAAAGCCAATTTAATAATATTAGGCAAAAAATATATATGTAGTAATCTGAGTTTCCAAACTATTTTTCAAGTTATAACGGAATGTTGACTTGTTAATTCTTGAACGAAAGTTGTGAGTTTACTATATTTATTTGTTAATCTAACATGTCCAATTTCAAATTCAAAGGCTTCAAAATTCAAATACCTTACAAGTTTTCATTTATAAATTGACATTTAAAAGTCATTAAAATAACTTGTTCATATATGTAATAAATATAATTTCAAAACCACTTTTTTATAGCATAAGAGTGACTTAGCTTATTAATTTTTGAACAACAGTTGTTATTTTTTTAAATTTATTTGTTAATATGACATGATTAATTGTAAATTGGGAGGATTAAAAATTCAAGTACTTTATAAGTTCTCATTTATCATTGACAAGTAAACATAGTTAAATAATAACTTCCATTCAAGAATCAACAAGTTAACATTTCATTATAACCTAGAAGCTAAATGGTTTGAAAACTTACTATATATATATATATATATATTTCGCCTAATATTATTAAATAAGCTTTGTAGCTTGATGGCCACAATCTTTTTAGTTGGCCAAGGATTTATCGGTTCAAACTCCTCTTAGCTACCTTTCCAACCAGTTAAATCAAGTGATATCAAAACTTTATTGACTGGCCACCGGCTACATCACTAATAGTAGGACTTTGGTGGTTGGCACTAGTGACAGTATGGTTAATTTTAAAAAAAAATTAAAACCAAAATTATTTTTATCATTTCACACTCAAAATTATTTATACTTTTTCCCTCTATCTTACAGTTATCGGAATGCCTGATCCTTTCATGTGAAAATGTTACTTTGAGTCCTTATTGTGATTTTCCCCACATTGATGGCTAGCTGTCAAAAAGAGCTGAAATGTGACGTGTTTTCGACTTCTTGATTAGGTATTTTCAGCACGCTGTTGTACGGATAAAATGGGCTTGTTAATTGTAGGCTTGAAGCTGCCTTGGCCGGGGCTGGCAGGTGGCAGCGGACTCTTTTTTCTATTTCTTAATTCTTTTACCGAAACAGAAAAGGGTGTTGTCGGTCTCCTCTTTCTATTTCAATTCAGAAACTTCGCTTTGGGCAGCAAACATATCAAACGAGCACAAGTTTTCTCGTTTAATTTGGAAAGGTACGTTCCATTTTTGGGTCTCTATTCCTCTTCTCTTTTTCTCTCTCTTTCTGGATTCTGCAGTACTGTGATAAACTGGTCTTAGCTTCTTGTTTTGCTTTTCTCTTCCTCTGATTCTTTCCCAAACCCTCAATCATGTTCCCCTTGACAACTCTCAAATCATTCTCTGTTACCTTCCTCTCAGCTCTCTCCAAGATTGCTAGGTTTCTAGGTTTTTGACTGTTAGGTTTCCTGCCTGATCTTATACTGGGATAACTTCAGCTGGAATTGAAATTCCTTCTAGATAGCTCATGTCAATAACCCTAGCATTTGCTTTTTGCTAAAAAAGAAAAAAAAAACAAAAACCTTAGGATTTGCTACAACTTCAAGAATTTGATCTCTTTTTTGACTGTTAGGCACTGAATATATACTGGGATTTGAATTTTTAACACTTAATAACCTTATCTGTTGCAATATTTTCAGTCCCTTATAGAGATTTTTGGGTGTTCTTTAACTCTTGATTCAAAGTAATTTTTCTGCAATCCCCTTTTTCGAGCCAACTTAAGTTAATAATTAATTCTGGGTTTTCTTAATTTCTCTGTAAGGACTCCGATCTGAGTCAGCTTGTTTGAATGACTTATTTAATACGAATCTTTCGTTCTTTTGTCCAAAAAAAAAAAGGAGTCTTTCTAATTCGTAGGGAGGGAAATTAAAGAATAAAGATGGTGAGAGGGAAGATAGAGATAGAGCGTACGGAGAACCAAACAAGCAGGCAAGTGACATTCTCAAAGAGGCTTAATGGACTCTTAAAGAAGGCTTTTGAGTAGAAGCAGTAATTTGGACAAAAACCCAGCCAAATAAGCTAGAAAAATTTTTGAGCTAGGCTTGAAAGTTTAATAGATCTTCTTTACTTTGACTTATTCTGATTGCTCAAATAAATCCAAATAAATCCGGGCCAAGTCCGAACCAAAATGAGCTTAGCTCGAATACTTAAATTCATTTTTAATTGTTGATAAAATAATATAAAAATTGAAAATATTATTTTTTAAAACAAAAACTGAACTTAGATAAAAAAATAAATTAAATTAGTACGTAACTATTCGGATATTCGGGTTAGCCTGAAAGTCTAAGGGATTAGGGCTGGGTTTTGATATATGGGCCTTTTCTACATGGTAGGACACTTTATGCTTGGTTCAATTAAGCCCAACCCGAATAAGCTGGATCTGCCCAAATCAACGGCTCCACTGTTAAGCTCTCAGTTCCGTGTGATTTTGAGATTTTCATCTTCTCTCCCAGAGCTCTATGAATTTTCAAGTCCAGGTATGTATGTGTGTGTTTGCATATATATATATATATATATTTATATTTATGCTCTACATCATCATTATATGCTTTAAGCTCCTCCAATCACTTCATGTGAATGGTTTGTGTCATTGTGTGACTGCATCATCTGTATCTTCCAGTATGTTCACTCAATTTGATTGTGTGTTTGTGCTTTGCACCAAATATTTAAAAATATTCTTGCTATATTATATATATATATATATGGTTAAGTTACGAATAAAGTTGGGTTTGTTGAGTACGATTGTACGTGATTGTTTATGAGTTTCATTTTCACACTTTCTAGGGATTTTGTTTGACTTCATACGAAAAAGAAAAAGATTTGGGGCAAAGCTTCTCGAGCCCATCTTCTAAGCCAGAAAATATGAATAGGTTCAGTACGTTGCTGTCTGTAGTGCGTACCCGTTGGTGACAAGAAATAGCTTGATCATACAAATACTTCTTCTTTTTCGATATAAAAAAATACCAGATACTTTCTTCATTTAAAAATATTAGGCATTTTTTAAGGAGTTGGATGTTAAAAATATAAAACATTTTTAGCTTTTCGAGGTGTAAGTATTGCTTTTTTTTTTCGAAAGTACCCTTACTAATAATGATTTTATATTTATTGTAGTGTGTTTAATAGGAATAAATATAAAAATATAGGGTTAGTTGAAAAGTAGGTAACTATTTTATTGAAAGATCAGATTCGATTAAAAATGCCTAACATTTTTAAATGGAGAGAGTAATACTTAGTATTAATACTGAGAAATTCATATCAAACAACTTTCTCAATGTAATTATTTCATGTAAAGACTTGAACTTAAAATCTTGTGTTGAGTTCCACTCCTCATAGGAATCTTAGTTGTAATCGTACTCAAATAGGTCATAAATTTATTCAATATATTTATAGCTATTCTTGTTTATTTAAAAATCATGCATACAGAAATAAATTTAAAGAACTATCATTTCTATCAATTTCCAACCAATTTTATTGATTTATATTCTCGACTCTTTTTCACTAAATTGAAACAGTTTTTATTGTCTTGGTTGATTTTAAAATGCCTATTTTTTCCCCCCTCTTGTGAATGTTGGGACCAGATCTAACTCTACGATGACTTTAAAGTGAATTAGATGTACATTGTATGGAATATGAGAAGTGAGACATAATAATTTGTCGGTTATAAACAATATTATTATAAATTTATGTTTTAGATTGAGTATCATTTTGATTCTTAAAACAAAAAAAATTATGACAAACGTAAAAGACAAGAGTGTGAAATGTTTAGATATGTAAGAACGATAATAATAATACAAGTGTACAATCAAACATAAAGGTTCTTGTTTCCTGATATCTTTTCTTCAAGTTAAATGAAAAATTAAGTAATTAAGAACAAGCTATTCAACAGGTTATTGACCAAAAACATGTTTTCAAGTGAAAAAATTTTTAAATTAAAAAAATTATCAATCAGAATTTAATTGTGATGTAAAATTTGGCTAAATTATTGCTTTTTATACAAACAATAAGTTTAGAGATTAAGTAGACAAGTGACACACACACACACACACACACACACACACACGAAATGATTATAATAAACATACATCACCTATCGGATCTTTCTGTTCTCTTTGGGAGGTTCTGAAATTCTATTTCTATATCTTTTGGTTTGTGATACACACACACACACACACAGAGCTCGTAGAGTGATTTGCACGTCTTTAATAGTATGCAGTTTTGAGAATATATATATATATATATATAGATTTTGATTCCTGAAGCGGCTTAAATCAACTAACTCAATGACTGCCTCATGTGACACTATAAAAACTGTTTAATTTAATAAAATGGCTGTAAGAGATTCTGTTATATAATACTAAAAAAATGAAGTATTATGAGATTATTTAATGTATAAAAATTAGAGGAATTTTCTCCTTAAATATATAGATATGATAAGATAGGATCATGAAGGTTAATATCTGACTTTATTTCCTTGTATAAAAGATTCATGTAACTTGTGTATATGCCGATCATCTTTGTGAATAAGATTATTGAGGTTTTCTGTAATCCAAGATTATCACGTGGTATCAAAGCCCTTGTATTCTAACCTTGAACACTCATATGGGGACGATAGAAACCAATGGGAATCCAACTTATACGCCCAACACTCTTCATCTATGGGTTCTAGTGTCGAGGCAGACTCTAAATGAAACCCAAATGACAGAACTACCCTTGGGTCGAGTTTTGCCAAAGGGTCTTATCTGCTTCTTATCACCGAGAAGTTTAATGGCTCCAATTATCGTGAGTGGGCCCAGACCATTAACTAGCTATTGGAGGGTGTGGGAAGCTAGGTTTCAGCTTAAGCACCTCTAAACCTCCAAATGCCTTAGACTCAGCTGCTATGCTAATGTGGGAGACCGAAAATTCTCTAGAAGCCTCGTGGTTAGTCAATGTCGTGACTCCTTATATTTGACAATCTTTCATGTTCCTCTTGACAGCATGAGATATTTGGGATGAAATCAAGGAGTCATACTCAAATGGTAAAGAAGGTGCTCAAATTTATGCTCTTGAAACTCAGAATTGGCAAATCAAATAGGGTGAGCATGACCTTACTTAATTCTTGTTGGTGTTACACTCAGTGTGGCAAGAAATTGACCTTAACATTGAAGCCAAGTAGTCCTGTTCTAGTGATGCGACACGATATAAGAAATTTATTGAAGATGAGTGGGTATTTCAGTTCTTGGCTAGGCTTCATCAATTTATGTTCCACTACATCTTGATGGATTGTTGACTTCAGAGCCTTAGATCACATTATTTTCCTCATACTTTCCATGTAGTGGGATTGAGAAAATTGATACAGCCAATGGTACCTCCTTTCCTATTGCTAGAAATGGTAGTATTACTATTTCTCAATTTTTGCATCGAGATTATGTTCTTCATGTCCCCTACCTTGCTTGTAATTTGCTGTGTATTAGCAAGTTGACTAAGCAGGCTCAATATAAGGCTCACTTCTTTTCCACTCATTGTATTTTCTAGGATCTCTCATTGAGGAAGATGATTAGAAAGGCTAAAGAGTGTGATGGGCTCTGCTATCTTGATGAATCAACTATAAGTAATCTATAGCATTGAATCCCCTACAACCTTGTGTCCACTTCTAGAAAAGCTAATCTTTTGTTATGGCATAAAAGAATGGTTCATCCCCATATCCAATATTTGAGTTGCTTGTTTCCTTAATTTTCATCTAATACAATTTCTGATTTTCATTACAATATTTGTGAATTGGCTAAACATGATTGCTTTTCTTTTCTACGCTCTAAATACATGCCCTCCAAATCTTTTTCCATTATCCGTATCAATGTATAGGGTATATCTTATGTCTCTAATCAAACTCGAGCCAAGTGATTTGTTACCTTTATTGATGATTGTACTTGTATGTGTTGGATGTATTTAATTAAAGATAAATCTGAGGTACATTCTATCTTTATTGAATTTTATACTATGGTACTAAACCAATTTCACACGTCCATCCAAATTCTCCAAACTGATAATGGCTTTGAATATGTTAATAAACTCTAGGTGACTTTCTTAAATCTTGGGGTATCATCCATAAAACTTCTTGTGCCAATAGCCTTCAACAGAATGGTGTTGTTGAACAGAAAAATAGATCCTTACTTGCAGTTGCTTGTGCTCTTATGCTTACCACAAGTGTGCTCACTTACTTTTTTTGAGGGGGGATGCCATTCTCACTGCTACTTATCCCATTAATCGCATGCCTAATAGAATATTACCTTACATTGCTTCCCTTGAATGTCTTTGTCAAACCCACACGCTCACTTATCTTGAAAACATTGTTCCATTGAAGTTATTTAGGTGTTCTGCATTTGGTCATCTTCATTCCTCTTACAAACTTAAGCCACAGGCTATTAAGTTTGTGTTCCCTGCTTACTCCTCAACCCAAAAGGTTGTATGTGTTTTAACCCATCTTGGATGTAAGGTCTCTCTTACTTATTCACATTATTTTAAAAATCTAAGGTAATCAAGGAATTAACCCATGAGGATTATCAAGTTTGCAAAATCACAAAACTCGGATCCCAAGTTTTCAAAACTCAAAATGTCATAATATCATCTCACACATCAAATCAAAGCAAAACAAGTTTACAAAAGCAAGGGACCAAGTTTTGTAACAAAATATTTGGATATAAGTTGATAAACCAACTTTTCACAGAGAAGCATGGAGGTACATCATGGCATGTCATTCATGCAACATGGTAGGGATGAGTCCATTGCTACAACAAGGTAAAGTAAAGAATTTGCACCTGAACCAAGTCTTGAAGACTTGTACTAGCCGATTGCCTTAAGAAAAGAGAGAAGGAGTTGCATTCAACATCCCATTAGTAGGTATGTTTCACACAAGAAGCTTTCTTCTCGTCTAAGGACCTTTGTTGCTAATGTTTAAAAGGTCAAGATGCCGAGTAGTTATGAGGACACTATTGATGAGGAATTACGAGCTCTTCATAAGCAAAAGACTTGGAAGCTTACTGATTTACCTAAGGGAAAATTGATTGTGAGCAATAAGTGGGTATTCACAATTAAGTATAATCTAGAATGAATGATCAATAAATATACGGCTTAACTAGTTGCCCAAGGTTTCATGCAAACTGATGGTACTGATTACTAAGAAACCTTTGCCCTAATAGCTAAATTTAATACTGTTAATGTTCTGTTATCTATTGCTGTGAATTTGGATTGGCCATTACATCAACTCGATGTTAAAAATGCCTTCCTAAATGGTGATCTTGAGGAGGAAGTATAAATGGAGATACCTTTAGGATTGAGGAATGCAGGAAACTCCAATTAAGTTTAATTTTCCAGCTCTTCAAATCTCTCTATGGTCTAAAACGATCTCCAATGGCTTAGTTTAACAAGTTCAATCAAGTGATAAAGAACAAGGATGTACTCAATGCTAAGAAGATGATACCTTATTTGTGAAGCATTGTGGTTCAAAAATCACTACTTTCATTATATATGTGGATGACATAGTCCTCATGGGAAATGATGTCAAGGAGATTATCAACTTAAAGGGGAAACTTGCTGATGAATTTGACATCAAATACCTTGAAACTATGAGATACTTCTTGGGCATAGAATTAGCCAGGACCCAAAGAGGAATTAGCATATCTCATTGTAATTATGTTATTGACTTACTAAAAGAGATAGGAATGTTGGGAGCTAGGCCACCATGCTTGAGACCTACATATGATATCCTGCAAGTGTGATGAGACAGTTCTCTAGTAGTCCTTAATCAGAACATATGACAACTATGCTTGAAGAAAACACCAAGACAAGGCTTGTTCTTTGAAAAAAGTAACTCTGGAAGCATAGAGATGTTCATTGATGCAGATTGGGGAGGTTCAAAAAGTGATAGACGCTCCACTACTAGCTATTGCTCCTATGTGAGGGGTAATCTAGTGACTTGGAGGAGTTTTTTTTTAAAAAAAAAAAACAAAAAAAAACCATTGTATCAAGAAGCTGAACTAAATTTGAATATCAAGCATTATTCTTTTGGGGGGGTGTAAAGGAATGTGGCTTATTAGACTTCTAAAGGAGCTAAAAATAGATGTGAATTATCCAATCAAGGTCTAGTGTGATAATATGTCAGCCATATATAAAAATTGCCAAAAATTTGATTCAACATGATCGATTGAAACGTGTAGAGATTGATGGGCACTTCATCAGGGGGAAACTTGAAAACAAAATAATTGATTTAGCTTATATTTGTCTTGGTCAACAAATTGTTGATGTGATGACAAAATCATTGACTCAATACAAGTTTGAAGGATTTAGAATCAAGCTGGAAATGATCAACATCTATTCGCTAACTTGGGGGAAGTGTTGGAAGTGGGCTTGCTATCACTTGGGCCCATTCGATAGTTTGGCCTAATTTTCCTATTGTAACCTGATTTATAGAATATTTCCTACGGATATTATATCATTAGATATATGGGATTTCTCTATTTTAGTTTCATTAGGTTGATACGGTCAAATGTGATCGTCTCTCTCGTGTCTTTCATGTATTATGTTTTCAGTGAATAAAGTACAGTGATATTTCTCAAATCATAGCTTTTTTTTTTGGAAGAAAAGGTCTAGTGTTCAACTTCTTTGCAATTGGCTACACTCTGGGGATAATGTGAAAATTATATATAGATGCATATTTATTTTCATGTGTGTCAATACTCTTTTTCATTTCATTTAAATAATCATTTGGTACTTCTTATTTTATTTTAATGAAAATTTCAATTTGGTATCCTAATTTAAAATTTAACAATGTTTGTTTTTCTGTTTTTCAAAATGATCATATACTTTGTTTACGGGTCCTTTTTGTAATATTTTATGAAAAAATAGTGAATGTTTACAATCTTGCCAATTTTGTAAGCAAATCAAAATTACTTTTCTTGAAAATGAATTTTTTCTGATTTTCCTTGCTCTTGGGCTTCGTCAAGATGTAAATACAATTATAAAAAGCTAAAATATATAAAACTCATCTAAACTTTGAGACAATTTCACAAAATTCCCTCACCTTTAAAAGTCTAAAATTAACCTCCCCAACCTTTTTTTTCCTTTTACAAAAGCTCCCCTACTATTATTTCTTGATTATCTTGCTAATAGAAGTTATCATGTCATATTAAGAAAAGACACATAGTAGTTAATGTAGCTAATAATAATATATTATAAAAATATAGATAAAATTTTTATAAAGCTATTATTAGCTTATATTGAATGCTACAGTTACGTTGCTACAAGTCTTTTCTTAATATGACATGTCAACTTTTGTTAAGAAGATAACTACCGAATAGCAGTAGTTAGGGGAGTCTATGGTAAAAATAAAATAAAATAAAATAAAGATTATGAAGGGTAGTTTTAAGTTTTGAAGATGAGAGGAGTTCTGTGCAACTGCTTTAAAGTTTAGAAGAGTTTTCTGTATTTTAGCCATTATAAAATTAGTTTATTTATATAATTGTTTCTTCTTTGTTTCCTTCAAACTTGTCAATAATGCATAATCTTGAAAATGGAAGCATCTAACTCATGAAACAGCAAGTATGAAGAAGATTGAGCTTTTAGAAGCCATCAAATCTAATCAACTTTGAACTTCGATGAATTACAGTACTGCTTGAATTTATGGTTCTTGATACTTTGTCATTCATAATTAAAGCTTAATTGCTTTGCTTTTCTAATTTTAATCTCTTAGGAAACTAATAGGAGATGGTTTGAACACATGCTCCTTACAAGCACTGCAAGAGATAGAGCAGCAAGTGCTAAAGAGTGTCAGAAATGTTCGAGCAAGAAACGTGAAGTTAATGTACACAATTTCATGTAAGTTCCGAAGTTTTTTTAAAATCTGAAGTCAATTTTATGTATACTTTTCAGTGAGAAATAATAATTTGATAATTCAATGTCATTTTGCATTTAATTTTTCATATATATATATATATATATGGAGTCTAAAAAATGAGGCATGCTATTCATGACTTGCAAACAAAGCAACTTACTATAAATTTTATCTTAAGCTTATTAATCTGTGCATTTGAAATCTTTTGATTCCATTAAAAAGAAAAAAAAAAAAAACACACACACACACACACGAGACCATATATATATAGCAGGGATGTGCCTGGCTAGGCTAACCTCTAACTTGAAGCCTAGAGCTAATATGCTTCAGGTTCATCTTTTGAACCTTTGCCCAATGAGCCTGACTCAGGTTGGTCACCCCAAGTTAGACTGGTTCAGGCTAGAAAGTCAGGAATAAATAAGATAAAAAAGAGAGAATTACTCTCAAGTTCTACACAACACTCTAAAATACTATAAATTCTATTGAGAACTTGAGTATAACAATTGACAACTATACTCAAGCTTGGTTCAAGCTAGAAAGTCTGAAATTTATAAGATAAAATGAGAGAGAATTTTTCTCAGGTCTTGCACAACCCTCTAAATATCATAAAATCTATCTCAACTATATAGTTAATTTGTCAATTTACAATACTCAAGTTGTTAGTTATCAATAGACTTTGTATTTTAAGGTGTTGTGTGGGAGTTAAGAGTTGTCTCAATTTAAATAAATAAAAGCTATAAAGCCAAGAAGGGATAAGGCTAGAAAGCAACCAACATATAACACAAAATGAATCCCTAAATTACATGAAGAAACAGCCATATGATACGTACAATTAGATATCATTTAAATCAAAATCATCCTCCAATATTCCTAGACATGAATTAGAAAGCCACAAATCATCAGAGAAAGAAAAATAAAAACATAGACAAGCCACGTAAGGTAGTTCAATTAAGTGACAACGGTCAAGTGAGACATGGGTAGAGATCTCGGATTCAAACCGCAATACATGGGGGCGGGGGGAACATAGACAAATCCAAGATAAAACAAAGAAATTAAATGGTTCTATTCCTGATCATGTGGCTCTGCCAGTAATTCTTCATTGTCAAGTACTACATTTGAGAGTTTTCTCTCCTATTATTCTCTCTTTCCTATTATTTTTTCCTCCATCCAAATCAAGCCTTAGTGAAGATGAGGGTGAGAGCTAGGTTAGAGGTTAGGCTCAAGGAGGTAAAAGGATTATGATAAGGGTCTGAAAATGAGTCTGAACCAGAGTAAAAAATGAGGCAGTAGATAGTTGAAGATATACAAGATGAAATGCCAAATGGGACGAGGATAAAATCGAAATTGGACAATAAATGACTGGTCCATCCTGGCCTAGTATGTCTTATTTCTTTTGTTGTAATTAATCAATCAATTTCATATTCAAACCATAGAATTGATTGCAACCAAATCTATAAAGTTGAATACAATCCCTTATCAATTCAGAAGAATATAGAATTGTCTTAATTCAATCTTGGAATTCATAAACATGCGTATTCAATTTCCAGATTGTTATGGGAGGGAATTTCTGAATCCTGCCAACAAGGGGAATGAGTAATGTTCCAATTGCCCGGCCAATTCAGTGACTACGACCTCCATAGATTTAAGTTTGTTATATTTATGACTTGGCCTCAACAAATTATAAATATCACTATAATTTCTACACATTGGTTTAATCACCCCTTAATCCTTAAAACTTATTCAAATAGATTACTTTATTTAGGCTTAATTATTATAATGGCCACACATTATTAATATCTACATGTGCGGCCCCCTATGTTGAATTTTATTCCAACATTTTTTTCATGTTATATTTAACGTTTGCACAGACCGAGTCAGGTTATTGGACATGCTATGGCCGTACTAGGCTTACAAGTTCAGGTTTTTTAAGAACAACCTGGCGTGTAATGTATTAAAAGAAAAAAAGGGGGGGGGGGATCAGCATAGCGTATATAAATCCAATAATGGTCATGATAGGATTTGTACGGGAGACATAAACTTAGTGCTACCAACTACACGCATGCGAACATGCATACACAAACGCGTGCACGTAAGTCTCCAAACCCTAAACATGCCCTTTGATGTGGCTGTAATTAACTTGATTGAGAAAAAAATGACAAAAAGACTTATTTTTTAGAGCGTGCAGTTCATCAATAACCTAATTTCAAAAATTAAACCTTTGCAAGTCTTTGTGTGGGGGTATGTAAGTATATATATTTGACATACACTTGGTTTATAAAGAATAGGATTGAGGTTCATTTTTGTCTTTAAATTATTTTTTTAGGAGTACCCAATGTCCTAAACTCTTTTTCATAGCAATCTTGCCCTTGAAGTAATTAAATTATAGTAATATTGCCCCTCAAGTTAAATGGACAAATGTTAACTGTTAATTTTGCCGACTCATAAATAAATTTTACTCAAATCATAGAAATCTTGACCTTGACGTGATTAAATCTTAGCAATATTACCTTTGAAGTGATTAAACTGTAGCAATGTTGCTCCTGATATTAAATACGAGTTAGCAAAGTTAATGGTCAATGTTTGTCAATTTAACGTTAGAGACAACATTACTATAATTTAATTAATTTAAGGGTAATATTTATTTGACAAAGTTTAGGATACTGAGTGATCTTACAAAATTAGTTCAAGGAAAAAAATTGACCTTAACCCTAGAAAATAAATAGATTGTGTGAATTACAAATATGTACTTGCGTGTGAAACTGAACTTTTATTTGCTCACATAATGCGTCTGCACAAGTCATGGTAAATTTGTTGGCTTATATTTTGTGAGCTGAATTCATCTATAAGGATTTTTGAAGGTGTGCTAAGGCTTTCTTCTTCACCCATATCTGTCTGACTGGCGATAGAAAGATTTTCCCAGCAAAAGTAAAAGTTAAAGGAAAAATGCTAACTTGGCTTCATTTATGTTATGACTACAATTCAGGACAAAGCCCTAAAAGCAGAAAACGCAAGGCTTTCTAAGAAGGTAAGATATTGTAAATTGTTATCTGGAAATTATTTCAAGAGTTGCATTATATTTCATTTTCATCATCACCTTCCTTAAAATCAAGTTTCTACACTTTAATAGATCTGGTGCAGAACTCGTGAACTGTTTCCAGAGTGTATGTTTGGACTAAGGAATTAAAAGGAGATGGAAAGCAAAGTTCGTATAGATGTTGATTATTTGATTTAGAACCATTCATTTCAATCTAAATTACGAAAAAGAGCATGAAGTTTTTACTGCATATTGTAACATGATTGCATTTGAATGAAAGAGACGATATTGATTTTGGTGTGCTGTATCGTATATGAAGGCAAATCAAGAAAGACAGAATCAGAGTAAAAATATTTCATCTTTAGATATGGAGACTGATCTGTTCATCAGACTTCCAAAAATTACAGGATTATGAAATCAATTATGACATCTTGTATACAGATCACAATTGTTCCAGAAACAATGTTGAAGATTACGAAGCAAGAAGTATAATAAGCATGACTTGTCATTGTACAAGTTATCTTCCATGATTTTTGGCCGTTGTTCGTACTTGTTTTGTTCTTTTGATTTCTAGTTGCATGAATAATCTAAGCAACCTTGATTTTGCACCATATATGACCCCATAACCTGACATTATTTAATGAACATGCCTTTGGATCAGCACATGCAAGCTAAGCATCAAATTTTGGCGATTAATTACTTGAGGCAATTAATCTGATGAATCCATTTTTTGAGATAATTTTCATAGTGATTTGAGAGTTGGTTGTTTGTGTGTGTGTGTGTAGAGTTCATTGTGGATATTAATATTCATGTGGTTTTGAAATAGCTAGGTGCTTTTGGGCGTGATTTTAACATTAATCGAGTCTCTTTTATGCGAAGAAACTTAAGGGGCAAAACTCTGTTTTTCGACCTTTTGTTTGCCATCAGAGCATAATATAAAGTTAATTGATTATGTTATTTGGATTTTGACAAGGCAGTTTATCTCAATGGTTTTAGTAATGCTATGCGGAAACTACATAAGAGGCCTCAAAACTTCTGTATTTAACCCAGGTCATGAAATTTGAGAAGTACTTGATAAGACCGAGGTCCTTCCGGTGAAATATGTTTATTTTTGAACTGACAAAATTGCCCACCAGAGAGAAAAAGGAGCGAGACAACAATAAAAGCATCCCATTTCAACAAAGTTTATATATATATGTATATATATTTTGGGGTTGTTATTATTTTAACTGCACTTAGAACTTATTATTATTTTTCAGATATTCAATTAAGCTACTTTATAATATATATATATATATATATATATAGTATAATTAAAAAATTTATTTTTTTCTTAAAAAGCAAAAAAGGTAATGCAAGTGTCCGCCCGGCCATGAGCCTTATCAACAAAAGCAATAAGGACTGAATTTAAAAAGTGCTAATTTTAGGGTAAGTGGATTTATGGGTTTTAGCCCTTAAAATCCAAGTACATAAGGACTAGACCTATGAGAGACAAGATAATTTTTATTGATAGTTAACATTTAGCCCTTTTGTCAAGATATTTGGTACAAAGATGTTGAACTCGTGAATTTAAATAAACATATGAAATATAAACTTAAATTATAAATTCAAATCATAAATATATAAAAATTTATTTCTATTAATAAATAATTATTAAAAGTATATTATCAAAATACAAAATATAACCTGATTTAAATATATTTTAAATTTAAATCATTGAATCCATTTACATTGATAGATTATCATACTCAATATAAAAATTTTAAAATGGGACAACTTAATTTTGATATTTCTTATTTTATATTTTTATTAATATTAATTTTTGCTTTTAAAATTTTATTTTTCTTCAAATTGGATACTATCACTTCTATAAACTGAGTTGTACGCAATACATATTTAATTCCCTCAATTAGAAAAAAAAATTAATAAATTTAACTGAGTTACTTCTAAATTCAATTAAGTTTATATATAGTCTACATTTATAAATAAGTTATTATGAATTTGTAGGTTAAAAAAGTTAAAAAAAATACGTGAGTTGCCATCCATAATGAGTCATTTACTCACTGTAGTCCTTCTTCCCGGTTTTTTCTCACAAAAAAAATAAAATAAAACACAAATACTCTCAACAAGAAGATACACATTGATGGGAGAAGGTGGTATAATAAATGGTCATTATTCCAAAGGATGTGTTTTCGAATTTTGATTGGCCGCCTTTGTACCTGGTTGTACGGATGAAAAGGACCTCATTTATTTATTTTGGTAAAACTCCTTTTTTAAAAAATAAAAATTTTAACTTCGCTGAACAAAAAGGCCCCACAAACTCTTTTTCGCTAAAATATGATACTTCAATTAATTTTCCACTACGGTCTTCTCTGATCTCTTTCTCCTGCTTTTTGTTATTCTTTCCTCTGTCTTTTACCAAAACTAGCAAACGGTGATGGGTTTGGATTTGCCACTAGGATAAATTTCCCTTTGTGCTGCAGCAAACAAGAACCAATATTCTGAATTAATTAATAAGGAAAAGGTACGTTCCATTTTTGTACTGTACACAAGAACAAGTTATCAGCACTCTCAGCTTCGTCTTGTTAGCTCTCATTTTGTCTTTTGGTCGATTCTTTAAATTCTCTCTCAAACCCTCAATCATTTTGTTCACATGCACCGTGATGATTAATCATTTTCCTTAATCTTCCCTTCATAGCTCCCCGAGGTTTCTAGGTTTCTGGGCTTTTGCCTTTTATTAGTTGCAGGTATAACTTTTGCTTTGCTGCTCTCAGAAATATTGTTTAAATTGGAATCGAAACTTCTGCTAGCTGGTGTGAATGTTCTAAGTTATAACCCTAGGAGTTATAAATTTTAACATCTTAATTTCGTGTTGTATTTTCAATCTGTTATATATGTATATAGCTTTCTATGTGTCTTCAAGTCTTGATTCAAAGCTCTGGATTTTGCTGCGAAATTCCCTTGGGTTTTTTGCTTTTCTCTGAGGACTCCGATCGATCTGAGTTAGCTTGTTCAAATGAGTTAATTTGTAATTTAATGAGAATCATTCTGGTTCACAGAGAGAGGCTTAAAGAATAAGGATGGTGAGAGGGAAGATACAGATGAAGCGTATAGAGAACAAATCAAGCAGACAAGTAACATTCTCAAAGAGGCGTAATGGACTCTTAAAGAAAGCTTTTGAACTCTCAGTTCTGTGTGAAGTTGAGGTTGCTCTCATCATCTTCTCTTCCAGAGGAAAACTCCATGAATTTTCAAGTTCCAGGTAGACATAATTCATGCTCTTCAATCGTACTTTACTTCTTTTCAATCGCCAATTTTTTTGTTTGTACGTGACTGCTTGATCTGTGCCATCCTTTTCCACCAGTTTATTTACAGTAACTTTGTAAATTTCAAACAACTTATGTGTAAAGTGAACTAATATATTGTCTCAAGATTTTCTCAAAGTAGATTCTGAGAATTTTCCTCATTTGTAGCGTGAGTTTAGGTAGTGTGATGCACAAGTTATAAAGTCCTTGCAATAAATATAGTTTAGTACACAAGTTAGGAATAAAGTCGGCTTTGAGTACAATATAATTATGTATAGTTTGACTCCGAGTTTCATTTTCACACCTGCAGGACTTACCAATATAAAAATATTAGGCTAATTAAGCAGATAAGAAACCTATCTTCTAAAAGAAGTACAATAGAAATAGAAAAGGGTAAAATATGAGGCACGGAAATGTGCTTAATTAGTTTGACTGTTAAGTATGTATTTGCCCCACATCACTCAAATGACTAAACTTGTCATATAAATTCTTTATCCTGATTGGTGGGGCAAAATTTATATTCAATGCTTTTGAAGTATATTATCTACAGAACTAATTTGTACCTTTTCAATTCATAATTTTAAACCATTATTTTATTGCATTTACAATTACTGTGTCATTTCTCCATTTGATATTGATGAGTGATACTTGCATTCCTCACTCCCTAACTATAAGTGGTAAGTTCTATGATACACAGCAGGTCCTATTATATGAATAGAAAATGTTCATAAATTGTTGAAACATTTAATATTGTTAATTATTGATGCTATTTAAAATTTTGACAAGTACAGAATTCATGTTTTTATTTAAGGATCCAACCTTAACATGATTTAAACTAAATTATTTTACGTTATTAAAATAATAATTTAAATTATATGACAACGATTTATATAATTGACAGTCATAAGAATTGCTTTGTGTTGCATAACTTCCACAACTGAATTTTTTAATCGCAGTTCTGTTTTGTTTTTATTTTTCTATTATTTCGTAAATTCATGTATTGGGGTTAAAATAATTAAGACTTTGATTATTTTTTTTTAATAAGAAGACTTTGATTCTTTAAATATGATGTTGTGTAAAGTTTAAACAAAAATAATTGGACAAACTTATTTCTATGTGTGAAGATATACGTTTCTCTATGTAGTTTATCAATGAAAAAAGGTTTTGTTTATTAGCTAAGAGATCTTTCAACTGATATAAAAAATATTAAACGCAAATTCTTGACGAAAAATCTTTAAATGTTAAAATAAAAAAGAAATAAGAAATGTTTGCTCGTGTATACAGTTACTTATTAGAAGTCATAAAATATCTACATTCTTGTATCTTGAAAGTCCCTGATATGTTGCGCGTGATTTTTTTTTTTTTAATATGGCTATTGATTGAGTCAAATTTGCCTATCGTTGAGCCCAATTAAAGGTAGGTAACTAAAAAGAAGTTTGACAGAATAACAAGTAAGGACTTTATAAAAATATTAATATCAAATTATTAACTTTAGTACTGAAACATAATAGAAGGAATACTAAAAGTTGGAAAATCAATGTTGAAAAATCTTAATTTGACACTCATGTTCTTACAAGGTCCTTATTTGTCATTCTTTCCAGAACTTTTATAATTTTCTTTTTAAATTGATATGCTGAATTTATCAGGTAGCATTTAGATTGATAGATTATTATTTTAATTATAGATTTAAAATCTTATATTTAAAATCTCGCAATTGAAATTTTAAAATTTTTTATTTGGGTAGTTTGAAAAAAATTCGAATAAAGAAGTGAGATAAACTGAGATTTGAAATGAAAATAAAAAATTAAAAATAATGAGTTTATTTCTGGTCTTTAATTGACAACAGATGAGAAAAGACACGAGAGTCATAGAAATACAGGTAGTAAAAAAATGAAGAGAACAATGGATGTTTGAATTGATTAAAATTTTAAATGATTAGGGTGTAAAGAGAATTTAAAATTAAGAAGAAATTATAATTTGAAATAGATTTGAATTTGGTTCAAATCTAAATTCATAAATTTTTATGTATCCAAACGAGGAATTTTGTTCAAATCCTTATTAATCCAAACACACCATTAGTGTATTTCGACTGGTACTTACACTATAAGTTTTTCAGTAGTTGCAGAAGCTAAGTGTAATTAAAATAATCAAGTGAGTGTTTAGTAGTAATATTATGTGCGCATTACAGATGAAAACAAAAAAAAAAGTACACAAATAAGAAGACTTGAAAGTGCATATATAATGGAAGATAATTCCTTGAATTTTGTTGTGAGTTCCACATCAAAAAGTCTTACAAGAAAAATGAGGTTTATAAGTTTAAAAAATTCTCCCATCCAACATGCTAATCTTGTAGAATGAGCTTGTGATCACAACATTGGTCTTAAAGTGTCATGAAGTGGAGCTACTAGAAATATCAGCCTTCAAATGAAGGTGCATTGATATGAGCCCAATATTGGGAAACCTCACAAAAAAGTAAGGTTTATAAATTCAAGGGGCTCTCCCATTCAACTAATCTGTTAAGATGAGCTCTCTTTTTACATTTATGCTCCTAAGAATTTCCTTTTTTATACATTTACTGATTAACACTATAACATTCTTCTTAATCAAATGTTTGAAGTTAAGAATTGACGATACTGCTTGCTCCAGAATTATCGTAAATAATCATCATATCTTCCAGAAGTAAAATATATATATAATATGGTCACCAATTTCAGTACCTACTGTCATTGAATAGTGCCTCTTAAGAGATTTTCACATAATTGACTATAACAAATAAATAAACTAATAATTTAAACATGAAACCCTATATAGAAACCTAAACTTACATATATGAACAAGAATTCCTCACCATTAAGACAGGGTGCTTTAAACTGTCCTGTGAAGCATATAGGCTCTCAAATCTCGACAAGGTCCTGAACTGTTCTGTCAATCATGAATTACATTATTTCTTCTCCCAACATTTATATTGTGACACCTTAGCTGGTTACATTTATAGGATAGAACAAAAAGAAAGACAATGAAAAGAATGAGAAGAGCATTCAACTTCTTGGCATAATCGAGATGTCAGATGTGAGACTGGGAAAATGGGAAATTTTGTTGCCATGTTATTTTCAGTATCTCACATTAGTGGAAAATAAGGGAACCTGTAGTCCTCTTGTAACTATAATTAGGCTCCTTTGATTCTTGTTTGAAAAACACAACAATTCTAGTTTTATGATTTCTTAAACTAAAGGGTGTCATAGAAGTTTTGAAAGAGTTAGTACATGTTTGGATTAACTTTCAACTTTAGTTAGAATCAGCCAAAGTTAGGATATAAAAAGCTCATTTTGTGTTGTTTGGATTAATCTTGTCTGTGATTGAGCATGAGCAATAAGGGGGATAGAAACCTTTGAAGCGATAATTGACATTAATTTTCACTTATCTTGATCTATATTTTTTGTATTTTGAATTTAATGTGAAACATCTATCATCATACACGCGCACACGCACAAAATTAAACATCAGAACAGAAGATTTCCTATTCAAATATAAGGTGTTCCTGCTAGCTACAAAAACTAATTACAGGATGAAAATTTCTCAGTGAACAGAAAATACCACAACCATGGAGAAAGGGACTAATAGTTACGACAATCCCAAACAACTCTCGCAAAGACATATCAACAAAATCTTCCGACAAATCACAACATCTCAAGACACAAATTAAACATAGAGGCACTGTGGCATAATAAGCCACCTGTGGAGAGGTTGGCTCTCTCCAACCAATGAAACCAGTTGAGATTTAATTTGTTGATTTTTGCTCCTTTTTATTCTTTATTTTTTCCCATGTAAATCGTATTTTCAATTCCGCCTGCACATTCAAGTCATGATAGGGTTTCTTCTTTAAAAAAACAGTTTGAAAATCTCAAGCCTTCTTCCTTGTTAGGTCATTCATAGGATAAGCACAATGACATGTTGCGGTTTCGGTAGTCTCAAATTGCAGTTTCTGTTGGCATGTGTTTTTTGTGTAGTATGTGATGTTGAGACTCTTCATTATGCAGTATGTACTTAATTGTACTTAGCAATAGTTTCTCCTCATTTAATCAAGAGGAGGATTTGGTGAGAAGAAATTGAATAGCTTGATGTTAATTTGTAGTTGTGGGATTGTTTCTCTTTCGGTTTGAAGGAAATGCTTTCATCTTCAAGGACATATGCATACCTTTACTTTCCATTCTCCTGTTTTTGTCAAAACTTCTTCACGGATTTGACTGAGAGAAAAGTTCCTGCCATTAGAATTTTTCTTACATTTTTCTCTTAGAATTTCTCATTTTTTTATTTTGCATAAGAAAGTCCACAAGAAATTTTTATAAAAGAGCATTTTTGAGAGAAATTCCGTTAAAATTTCTTTCCAAAGTTTTTTCGAGAAAAATTTTCAAGAGATTATTACTGTCTTCTTGCAGTGCTCTGTCTATTGTCTATGTTGCTTTCCTTTCCTTTCTTTCCCCCCTTTTCTGTTGTTTACTGGTAACTAGATACTGGGAAGAATGACATTAAAGTCCCAAAACAATGAATTTATAACAGTTAGGTCCTGACAAAGTTTTCTAAAAAATCAGTTGTATAAATATTAATTCAGATAGTCATAAATTCATGAATTCTAAATCTAAATAGTATATTTAAATTTTAAGTATAACTCTTAGTTTGCATTTGAGATTTAGGTCTGCAACTATTTGAATTAATGTTTACAACTTATTTTCTTTAGAAAGTTTTGTCAGGAACTTAATTATCATAAATTTCAAATTCTAAGACTTTATTGTCATTCTCCCTAGATATAGCTTGATATTTATGATAGTTTTGTCAATAATTTGATTACCTTTTGGTTTTTTTCATACATTGGAATTTATGAGCCATACTGCTTATTGCAATTAATGTTATGGCTTTTCATAGGTTACACACACACACATAAAATGTCATGATATGAAAAAAGTTTGACAGCTTTTTTCTATTTTCAAATTTTATTTTCATTTGCAGGTTTAATATATATTGTCAACAAGCAAGTTGTACATTCTTAATGGCCTCTGGCAGAATTTCTTTTTTCATGAAAGAACCAAAAATTAGATTTTTTTTTCTTTATTTTATACGTTTCATTTCTATCCCTCCTTCACATGGTTGTGTATTCTGTAAACGTACGCGCGCGCGCGCGCGCGACACTAAATTAAACAAAAATTGTAAAAAAGAAAAAAAGTCCTTTAACATTGTCATTCCTACCAAAATAATTGCTTGAATTGTACAGCGTTCAGAAGACAATGGAACGCTACCGCAATTATGTTAGAGATTCTCAAACAGCCAACACATGCTTAGGACAAAATATGGAGGTTATTAATTATTATTTCCTTATGTTCTTTTTGTTTATTAATTTATCATCTTCCGTCCATGGATAATTTTCTTGTATTTCATGGCTTTCTTTTGAATTACTAGATTGGATATCCTATATTCATGCATTCATCCATTTAGAGAAATTAATGTGTGACATAAGAGAATGTAGTTGTGTGTGTGTTTGTGTGTGTGGAATCTTATTCTATTCTAAAGCTAATGAACACACCTTTTTACTGATTTTGTTTATCCAATTAATAGATCATTAGGTTAAGAAACTGTTACTAAGCTACACTATACAATCATGCCTCTTACTTCGTGCTCAGCTAATAACGAACTAAATTCTCTGTGCACTTCAAAAATTCATTGACAGAATTTTATAACACGTTGTGCTAGATATAGAAATGATGTCTAAGCACAACAATGGTTGGTAACATATCCGGGTTTATTGCATCAGATACTTAATATTCTCTTTATTTTAAATTATAAGATACTTTTAGACAAAATCTCACATGTCAATAAATCGTATTAAATACATTTAACAATTTTACTTTTTTAAAAAATAAAAATATAAACTTTTAAAAATACTCTTTATCTAATATATTGAAAAGAGTGAGGGATGTGAATTAAATAAAGAAAAAAGATAATATTGAAATAAGTTTATTTAATAAAACTTTATTTTACTTAAAGTGTATTATATTTTAAAATGTGAAATGCCTTTTAAAAGTATTTTATAATGTAGGATAGAGGGGCTTATATAATATTTTATAAAATTTAGTGAAGTGTTTATGAGTTATTTCAAAAAAATACTCACACATCTAATTGATTTAGTTTGGATGTTATGTTTGACTTTAAGATTCTTGAAATTAATTGTTCTAATTAAGGGTAATTTGTGAATAATATGTAATTTTAACCATATTTCTTAACCCACATGTGATTTTGTTAAAGTGCCTTATAAACAAGACAAAAGGGAATATTTAAATGTGTTTTAGGTGCTTGTTTATGTGTGTGTTTGTAATTGATTTTACACTGCGAACATGTGGTGGAATGTGTCTAAAAAAGAAAAAGAAAAATTTGTCCCAAATTATTTTGTGACAAACTGTTTCATCCCAAACGAAGGTACAATATATTTCTGCAATGGAAAATCTCTCCTCACAAAATACATCCTAGTTTTATGTTCTGTATTTTAGTGTATTAGTATTCAATTTTTCATATGGATCTCCATCCAGGCTCTTTTATGTGGTATCCATCTCCTTGTTATATATTTTTTTTCTCCTGCATAGGCACCACTTTATAATTAACACAATATTCTACTGTTTAATGTCTGAAAATGAAATCAACAAACAGCAGGCATGAGGAAGATGATTGAGCGCCTTGAAGCTTCAAAACGGTTCCAGGAGCAACTTTGAATTACTCTATGAATTGCTAATATTTTTAAATTCATTCATAATGCATGCTTAATTAATCAATTTGCTTTTATAACTTCAATCATTTATTAGGAAACTCTCAGGAGAAAGTTTGAACTCATGTTCCCTACAAGAGCTGCAAGAGATAGAAGAACAGCTGCGTAAGAGTGTGAAAAACGTTCAAGAAAGGAAGGTAGATTTAATATTATGTTTTTACGATGCAATTTTTTCTTTGTTTTGTAAAGTTCTAAATTCAAAATTTATTTTTCCAGAATCAGATGTTTAAGGAGAAAATGGAGAAACTTAAAGAAAAGGTAAGATGTCCGTTGAGAAATAGTTTCAAAATTGTGTGGATATATATGTATATTTAGACCACCCGCAAGCTTTTTAAAAAAAAAAAAACAGAGAGAGAGAAAAAGCAAACAAACAACACACACACACACACACAACAGCAGCAGCAGCAGCAACAACAACAACAATTTTAATCAAACTGTTCTCCCCTGTAAACTCTAAACCCTAGTCATGTGCCTTGATGGGATTTGAGTTAACTTCGTTAAGGGAGAAATATACGAAAGTAAATATTGATTGGAGTTTGCAGTGATGAATGACTTAATTAAAAATTTAAAACTTTTATTGTGATCTGTAAATGACTTCAAATTTAAGGAGAATTTTCTCTTTGTTTCTTCAAAATTTAACAAACTTGATAAATTAATAGGTATTGTCAATCACAAACATACATGTAAATATATTAGATTTAAGCTATTTAAGTGAAACAAAACTAAGTCCTTCACACACACACACACATTTAATTTAGGTTTGCACTACTATTATGTGTGATGGTTAGCCTTGGATTTTTCATGTTCTATTGTTGCCCATAATATAAAGTTTTACATCATGCTTCAAGGTTTTTTTTCCCTTTATTTCCTTTATTTGTGATTTGATGTAACTATACGATATTTTCAATCATATAAGTGAGGGTTTAATTACTAGTAAAATTTGGTAGTATCTTCTTCATTTTAATGCAGAAAAACAGATTCGTGAGGTGGGGCTAGGATTTTCTTCATTTATGAATTTGACTATCCAGCAATAAAATAATCAAAAAAAAAAATTGCTGACTTCTCTTGTTTTGAATACAATCCAGGAAAAAGCCCAAACAGAAGAAAATGCAAGGCTCTCTGTGAAGGTAAGATTGTAGTAAATTTCATCTAGAAATCATTTCATTTACTTGGGCTTTAGGAAAAAGAAAATCAAGTTCTCTGAACTTTTGGGTGCAAACTCATAGTCTAAGGAAATATTTAGATAGGAGAACTAAAGGACATTGATTAGTATTAGGAATAGTGAATGACCGCTCAAAAATGGGGGGAGAGGAAAAATGGACAAAGAGTAGGAAGGATACTATATCTTAATTTAAAATATGACTTAAGTTTATGGATGATTCTTCTTTATTTTATATTAGTTATTAAGTTTGGCTTTAATTCATCTGATGATGGACTCTTACATTGTTTTAAATCTATTTATATTTGGATATCCTAACAATCAAATTTTGAAGGAAAGACATTGATTTTGTGGGTGCAGTTTGCGCCGATGACAAAGCAAGCAAGACAGAATTTGAGTGTGAATCCAGCATCCACATCAGAAATTAATATTTCATCTTTGGATGTGGAGACTGATTTGTTCATCGGACTTCCAGAGAGAAGAACATGACCTATTCCTTAAGTAAAGTTGAAGATTATGAAATCCACATTTATTAGTAATCTGATATATATTATATATATAATATGAAAATTTTAATAAGCCACACTATTCATAAATTATAAATAATGTGGCATATTTCTTAGCTTTCGTACAATGCAAAGGATGTGCACCATTGTTTCAATAATGTAGAGAGACTATAGAGGAGAGGAACCACAATCTCTCTTTCCAAAAGACCAAAAATGGTGGTTCGAAGAGTGGATAGTACTGTGATAAAATAAGGCTCATCTCTATGGTCCATGTAATCAAGTGACATGAATTTTGCTTACTTGAAATACTTTGACGTTTTTTACGTGTATGGGGTAAAATCTCTTATTCCATTCTTTGATAGATAATGAATGTTTATTTTTTTTTTTTTTACCAATCAGTTCGTTTAATTATTTAGTTAGTCTCTTGATGATTTAAAGTGCTTTAATTACACGCTACTCTTCCATCAAGTCCACCATCATCCCAACTGTGATGCTTGCTTTTCATGATACTTTTCTAATATATAATTCAAATCATGAATCAAGAAGCAACTTGATTTGTCGTCGTTATTAGACGCCTTATACCTAAAGCCGGTAATTCGGGCCAAGTCCGACGAGCTAGCCCGAATTGGCCCGAAAAATTTTAGGGCCGGGCTTAGGAAAAAAAGTATTTTTTTTAGGTTTGGGCCTATTTGGGCCGGCCCGAATAGGCCCGAAAAAATTCGGGCCAAGCCCGAATACCCAAATAAAAAAATTATATTTTTAAAAAATATATATAATATAATAAATATTAATTAATTCTTTAAGTTTTAAATCATTTTATATTAAAATACCATATATTTGAGCTCTAAACATCATTTAAGTATTAAAAAAATATATTTTATATTTTTTATAAAATAAAATAATTAATTTCAAAGTAAAAAAATAATTAAAAATAATTTTAAAAATTAAATTCGGGTATTCGGGCCGCCCGAAGCCCGAAGGACTTATACCTCTACTTATTCGAGCCCGAATAAGCCCGACCCGCCCGAATTCCCAACTCTACTTATACCTCTCACACTAAGTATATCTTAATAAAGCATAATTTTCTTTATTCAACTTCTCACCATTAAACAAAGTTAGAAAGCAAATACAATTGCCAAACCAAAATAACAAATCAAGATAAACAAGCTTTGCATGTGACCCCAACTATTTTATTCCCTACGCACCATGACTAACATCCTCATAGCAGTCATTGCCCATTTACATTAATGGGAGGACGTACGTGTGCCAAATTGATTGGTTGTTGGGCTTGTGGGCCATTTTTGGATTTCGATCAACGGTTCCCATTTCCCCACTCTCCACTGGTTGCTAAAAGGACTTTCTAAAAACACACTTCATTTAGAACGTTGTTTGTTTGTTTGTTTGTTTGTTTGTTTTTTTTTGGGTTTTTCGCTGAGTCTATGTTCAGTTCGGGAAATGCTTCCCAGTTCCTGCCCTCAAATAATGTCGATAGAGAGAAGGCTGCTTTGAGGTGCTTTTGGCCTTTGAGGAAGACACCTTACCCTTCTAACAACTTCTTCCCATATTATCATTTTCTCTCCTTTTACAAACAACCCTCTCCTCTTCCCATATTACGTCGCAGATCGTGCCTTTGATTTCCTGTTGACTGTGGCTAATTGACTGCCACATGGAAGTTAATTTTTGTCCTTCAGCAACAAACAATTAAGGGACAGATCTAGATTTTTTGGTGCATTGCCTTTCCTTCACTGTGGATAAGTCTCACATTCTTCTCTCTAAGCACCTCAAAACCCTTCATCTACCTATCCCTCGTCTTCATCTTCCCTACAAAATAATATCCGTCATAAAAACTTTCCATCTGCGAAACTATCTTTGATTATTGATGGTTACGAGCGGCTTGTTGTCTTTGTCTTCTTCTGATGTGAGTGAAAAAAAAGAGAAAATGAAGATAACTTGCGGAGATATTTTAGGAGAAAATGAGGAATGGAGAAGAGTTCTCATTTGGTGCTCATGGATGATAAGCGCCAAGCACTTAGCATCCAAAACGAACCATTTTGGGTGAGTGAATTAATTATGGATTTAGGTTTTTTCTTCCTTTCTTTTGACATTTGCATTGTAACATCTCAAAGATTTAATTTCGAATTAATTAGTATAAGTAAGGGTAAAATAGTGATTTGAGGGTTAATTATAGTAGAGAATAATTGGGGATTACCATTGGGGTTAATGGAGTACTTTTTGGATAAGTTGGATTTAGCTTCGGAGTGTAATGGGCCAACTACGCCCGAATAGAGGAGCCTAAACCTGGATGAAGCCCACATTATCATCCACCAAGGCGGATGTTCAAAATTTGATATAATTAGATTAACTAGGACAGTCAAAAACATAAGGGAAGAACGAGAGAGTGAGACAGTAATGATGTAGGAGTGTTAGGGCTTGGGGATTTCCACAAATTGGAACTATTTGGAGATAGATGACTCTTGGGTGAACTTCAAATCCTTCCTCTTTACCTTTCCATTCATTTTCTTAATTAATAGTTTTTGGGGGTTTTGGTGGATTCTGAAATGGGGGGAAATTCCATTGATTGATTAGACTCCAAATACATTATTAAGAGTTTATTTAAGTTTCTAAACATGAAGTTGTGGATTAAATAATGCTTAGGGTTTTTATGATGAGTTTTGACGAACCCTAGTTGGGAATAGGTGATTTGAGGATAACGTAGGAGTTCAAAGGGGAGACTCAGACTAATGAGAATTTACTTGTGCCAATGGATAGGGAAAATGAATTTAATTGAGAAAGATTGTGAATATTGGGGATGGTTGGAACCTCTCCCACCGCGATGATTTAGTTTGGTTAGAAGGTTTGTAGAACTCTTTTTTTCTATTATTATGATTTTTTTTTAGATTTATTTAAGAACTGAAGGGGATCGGATGTTTTTCTTACCTTTAAATAACACCATTTTTGAATGAACAAAAAATTAAATTATAGAATAAGTCATGGAGGATTACTTTTACACATATTTTAGTAAGATCATATATATATATATATATATATTGATCCTGTTTATATATATCAAAACATATTTAGTCACCTTGCAGGAATTACCTATACATTCCTAACAAGTGTGTAAAACAAAAATTTTGTAACTACACCAAAAATATGCTAAAATAACCCCTAACATAATACATCAAAAGGGTCCCACGCACATACACACATACGTTCCTAACCTTCTATGATATATAAATATGTCCATTGGGCATGTTCAGAGACATCATTCATATCAAAGATGGTTGCATATAGTAAGGTGGCTACAGTAGAGGCATAAACGAAGGTGGCGACTGCATGAATGGTAGTGGTGGCAACTTGGCAGGTGAGGGGCTGGATGAGGTTAGTGTTAGGAAGGGTAATAACAGTGGTGGGAAAAGTGAGAAGTGTGATGAATATGAGGGTGAGGGTGGTACTATGTGGTCTAGAGTACATAGTAATGAAGAATCCCAAACACTTTAGAGTAGGTGTGAGTGTTCATCATCACTTGAGCCAATCTTATCTGGCACTATGATTGCTATCCAGTCTATCTCTATAACTATTCTCTCTATTGGCATTTAGACACATCACAAAGATACACATAAGAGAAGTTTTTGTTAAAATTCTCAGTAAGATTTTATACTTTGAACTAATAATGGTCTAATTACCTTGAGTACAAAAAAATCTACTATTTTATACAGACATTGAACAATTGAGTGAATAATAAATTATGACATGAATAAATTGTCATATCCCGAAATATAGGAGTAACTGACATGAGATAGGTGTATAAACCACATATCCCTTGAGCCTTATTTCAAGAAAATTTTCTAAATACTTAATTATATTTATATAGAATTATGAAATCTTGGATAATTTTTATTTTAACAAAAGCCTTAAGATTTTTGTAAGAATTTCGGCAACACTTCACTTATAAGTATGACCTCCTAAAAATCCTACAATATAATTTTTACAAGCAAAATATCACTAAAATCAAGAGCACAGCTCCATCCATCTAGCATATAGAGTATATAACCAAATAAGAACCCTAATTATAACTTATGTGGAGCAGCTACCTATATTTTCAAAACATAATACATAAATTTCTTAATTACGTCAAAAAGAGATATTTATAAAATAAATCTCCACCTTGCTTAGCAAAAAGTTCCTCAGTATTCAGCAGGACATGCAATGTCAGCTATATTATTTGAGACCAAAAATAATTTTCAGTTAATAACATCCCAATTATAATTGATGACAATAATGGAAAGTACATCAATGAGTTTTTATAAACTTAATAAAATAATCAATTGAAAATAATATAGCACATACTTCTTTTACACACACACACACACACATCAACAGTTATGTAAATGTACAAACTATGATTGTATGAATTCAATTACAATTTATTAGAAATTCAAGTTCCATTTTAAACATCAACATATATTTAAACACTTTGAGAATTATTTAGCTCAATATAAAAATTCAAATATGGTAGAAATAATAGTTTCTTATAAAAGATCAAATTTTAAGAAAACTTAAGTTTCAAAATTCACTCTTTAGTAGGACTTGATTAGAATGATTAACAAGCATAAACACACAATCCATGAGGGTAAATAACCAATGAGTGTGTGGACATATAGTTCACGAGAGTAAGTAACTAAGCACAGCGTAAAGCCACAAAACAAGTGTAGGCACAAGGCTCATGAAAACAAGCGTGAGTACATTACTCACGAATAATTGTCCCTCTGTCCCACATGTGGTGGCATTCGTACAGGACTAGCACCTTCTAGTCACCTTACTAACTAAATGTACCATGACGTGTTAAGGGCTAATGATACTGCCGTTAGTAACCAACATTCTAATTAAATCTCACATTTCAAATCAAGCATGTATGGGTCTAAAATCAACATATTATCTCTTTTCAAAATTACTCATCAAACTCAACATAAAAAGATGCATCTATATACAAGTCCTATGCATGAAACATAATAGTTAATCATTCTTTAAATATAAAAATCAACATTTTCATATAACAAATACTTTCAGATATTCAATGGAAGGATGAATCCAACTCTTGCTATAACATATAATATAATGAAATATAGTATGTAATAAAATATAATAAAATGAAAACATTTTCATGTATGATAGTTGATAGTAAAATTAAGATCATGAATCATAAAAATAAATTAAATTACTCTATCATTTGTTTTTATGCAATAAAGGTTATATAAATAGAAGAGATAACACATGAATATGCTACATCAATATTTTTATGAAAATGAATTTGCTTATGAGTCATTG